ATATAGGTGTTTTCCTCTTTAATCACACAAGAATGGCTACATTTACCACTTTGCACACAAATTCAAGATCAATAACGTCTGAAAATGGCAGATAATGGCTACATTTACCACTTTGCACACAAATTTAAGATCAATAACATCTGGAAAATGGCAGATTATTTGGGGGAAAAACGGGAAAAATGGCAGGTTATTATAGGAAACACACATCATTGTTCACGTTTTGAAAATGGTAGATTATTTAGGGGAAACAACGGGAAAAAACATATTGCCTTAACTTTGGTTTGCGGCTGAAATCGCGGTTGAAATCTTCGGAGTAAGACAGAGGGAGAGAGGGAGAGACCATCGATGTTCACTGCTGACTTGGATTTGCCACCGTTGGTGTCACGAGATGGAGTCATCGTTCACCAGAGCTCAAAAGGGATCGTGGTTGAAATCTTCGGAGTAAGACAGAGGGAGAAAGGGAGAAACCATTGATGTTCGTCGCCGACTTGGATTCACCGCAGTCGGTGTCACGAGATGGAATCGTCGTTCACCAAAGCTCAAGATGGAGAGAAAAAGTGAATGGGAAGATATGGGAGGGAAGCTCTGTTTTGTTGTGTTGAATGAAATGAAATTCAATTTTTTATTTTATTTTATTTTTTAGCTAATCTGATTTGAGCCTTAGATTTTGCCCAAAGTGACGTGGCCAAATCTTAGCCGTTGACTGGAGGAAGGACTGGAGAGGATGGCTACAGAGGATCTGGACCCGATTTGTACCCATAAAAATGGTAAGTCACATGTGAATACTCAAAATTTCATAATTTTAACGTTTCGTTCGGGATGTGAGTTAATTTTTTGATTTTTTAATTTTTTAGTTATTTTAATTTGGAGTTAAAAAGTCTCGTTTATGAAAGACTTTTTGATTTTTTTGACTTTTGTGAGAGAAAAAATCAATTGATTATGATTTAGATATGACATTTTTTAACATGGAGTTTAAAAACTTATTTTGTCTTTTTATAACTATTTTAACCCCAATCCATCCCAACTCAACTTTCCAAACCAATGCCAAGATTTGTCAAAAGAGCAATGGTAGAGGGCCCAAATTCTGTGGCTCAAATGTGGCTCAAATGGCCAAAACGACGTCGTTTTGAGTACAAAACAACATCAAAATGGCCAAAACGACGTCGTTTTGGCCATTTGAGCCACATTTGAGCCACAGAATTTGGGCCCTCTACCATTGCTCTTTTGACAAATCTTGGCATTGGTTTGGAAAGTTGAGTTGGGATGGATTGGGGTTAAAATAGTTATAAAAAGACAAAATAAGTTTTTAAACTCCATGTTAAAAAATGTCATATCTAAATCATAATCAATTGATTTTTTCTCTCACAAAAGTCAAAACCCATGGCGCGGCCCGGGGCGGGCCCGATCTGGCCCGTTGACAATGTGAATATTCACATTGACATATTAACATTCACATTGATAAGAGTATAAAATTGGCCCGCGGCTCATGGGCGGCCAAAAGCTTGCCCCCGGCCCGGCCCATTGATAATGTGAATATTCACATTGACATGTTAACATTCATATTGATAGGAGTATAAAATTAGCACGCGCCTCGTGGCTGCCCGAAACCCGCCCACGGCTCGTGGGCGGCCCGGGGCGGGCTCGACCCGGCCTGCTGACAATGTGAATATTCACATTGACATGTTAACATTCACATTGATAAGAGTATGAAATTGGCCAGTGACCCAAGGCGGGCCCGGCCCGAACCGTTGACAATGTGAATATTCACATTGACATATTAACATTCACATTGATAGGAGTGTAAAATTAGCTCGTGCCTCGTGGCTGCCCGAAACCCGCCTACGGCCCGTGGGCGGCCCGGGGCGGGCCTGGCCATTTTTTTTAAATTCTTTTTAATTTTTTCTACCAAAATTTTATTATTTTCCACAAAAAAAAGACACTAGTTCTCGGCGCGGGCCGAGTCGGGCTTCAAAGTGATGGCCTAGGCCCTAGCCTAGGGTCTCGGACTAGGCTCGAGCCTGGGCCCAAACGAGCCTTTCCCGGGCCGGGTCGGGTCGGGCAGGCCCACGGGCCAAAAAATTAGGCCTAGGCCCTAACCATGACACAAGGGTATTCGGGCTTTGGACGGGCCGATGGATTGAGCCTCGGGTCGGGCCGGTGGGCCTGGGCCTAGCCTCGAGCTTAGGTCGGGCATGGGTGGGCCTGGCCATTTTTTTTAAATTCTTTTTAATTTTTTCTACAAAAATTTTATTATTTTTCACAAAAAAATACATTGCGCCTCGGGCGAGCTGGGCCTCGGACCGAGCCTTGAATGGGCCTTAAGCGGGCTGATGGGCCGGGCCAGGCTTCAAAGTGATGACCTAGGCCCTAACCTAGGGTCTCAGACATGCTCGGGCCCGGACCGAAACAAGCCTGCCTCGGGCTGTGGGCGTGCTTCGGGCAGCCCACGGGTCGCGGGCCAATTCTATATTCCTATCAATGTGCATTTTAACATGTCAATGTGAATATTCACATTGTCAACGGGTCGGGCCGTGCCGGGCTTACCCCGGGCCGCGGGCAAGCTTCGGGCAGCGGACAAATTTTACACTCCTATCAATGTTAATGTTAACATGTCAATGTGAATATTTACATTGTCACGGGTCGGGCCAAGCCCGCCTCGGGCTACGGTTAGGCTTCGGGCCGCCCACGGGCTGCGGACCAATTTTATACTCTTATCAATGTGAATGTTAACATGTCAATGTGAATATTTACATTGTCAACGGGTCGGGTCGGACCCGCCCTGGGCCGCTGGCCAATTTTATACACTTATCAATGTGAATATTTACATTGTCAACAGGCCGGGCCAGGCTGGGCCGAGCCTGCCCCGGGCCGCCCATGGGCAGGTTTCGGGCAGCCACGAGGCGCGGGCTAATTTTACATTCCTATCAATGTAAATGTTAACATGTCAATGTGAATATTCACATTGTCAACGGGCCGGGTTGGGCTCGCCCTGGGCGGCCGGCGGGCTTTTAGCCGCCCATGGGCCGCGGGCCAATTTTATACTCTTATCAATGTGAGTGTTAACATGTCAATGTGAATATTCACATTATCAACAGGCCGGGCCGGGCCTGCCCCCGAGCCGCTCATAGGCCGTGGGCGTGTTTCGGGCAGCCACGAGGCGCGGGCTAATTTTACACTCCTATCAATGTGAATGTTAATATGTCAATGTGAATATTTACATTGTCAATGGAACGGATCGGGCCCGCCCTGGGCCGCTGGCCAATTTTATACTCTTATAAATGTGAATGTTAACATGTCAATGTGAATATTCACATTGTCAACGGGCTGGGTCGGGCCCGCCCTTGGCCGCTGGCCAATTTTATACTCCTATCAATGTGAATGTTAACATGTCAATGTGAATATTCACATTGTCAACGGATCGGGTCGGGCCCGCTGACCAATTTTATACTCTTATCAATATGAATGCTAATATGTCAATGTGAATATTCACATTGTTAACAGGCCGGGCCGGGCCCGCCCCAGGCCGCGTCATAGGCCGTGGGCGGGTTTCGGGCAGCCACGAGACGCGGACTAATTTTACACTCCTATCAATGTGAATGTTAACATGTCAATGCGAATATTCACATTGTCAACGGGCTGGGCCGAGTCAGGCCCGCCCCGGGCAGTGGACGGGCTTTTGGCCAGCCATTGGCTGCGGGCCAATTTTATACTCTTATCAATTTGAATGTTAACATGTCAATGTGAATATTCACATTGTCAACGAGCCGGACCGGGCCCGCCCCGGGCCGTCTATGGGCCGCGGGCGGGTTTCGCGCTGCCACGGGACGCGGGCCAATTTTACACTCTTATTAATGTGAATGTTAACATGTCAATATGAATATTCACATTGTCAACGGGCCGGGCACGCTCCGGCTCGCGGCCGGGTTTCGGGCCGCTCACAGGCCAATTTTACATTCCTACCAATGTGAATTTTAAAATATGAATGTTCACATCATAAAATTGCTAACTGTTCAAAAAATATTTACAATGATATTAAAATTAAATATGAGGGCATAAGTGTCCAAGAAAATAGCGTAAATCAAGAAAAAAGACTTTATGGAATAAAACTATACATACATGGGACTAAATGGGTTAAAAAATTCCTTCATGGACTTGAGTTAAAACACTTCTAAATGAAATTTATCAATAATTTACCCTATTCAAATACATGTACGAAAATTATTTAATTTTTTTTTTTTTTTTTTTGCCCTTTCTTTCACTTCACTTTCTATCATTTTTACTTTCTACTATCTATTTCTTTCCAAACAAACAGAGTCTAACACCATAATTTGTTGGGTAATAGTTAGAATTTGACCATATTGGACATTGAGGAGTTTAAATTTTAACATAAAAGTGGTTCTCACGTAAGATTTATCAAACCTTAATAATTTAGAAAGTGCAATCTTATCACCTTATACTATTTTGACAATATCTCTTTATATAGTTGGAGTTTTGATATGACGCCACTACGATTAAAGAACCAGACTATTGAAGTTTCACTTTAGACCAAAGGAGACAATCTTGAAGAGCCAATCTCAATCTCAACAACTGAAATGAATGAGATAAGCTTGTTGATTTGAAATTCAATATTTTTTCAATTACAAATTATCCCCTTGATCATACTTCTCCTTTCCTATTTGCTCATGCATCCCTAACAATTCACCAAACATATTTTCTTTTTTCAAAAACTGTGCACATTCTGTAAAATTACAAAATCCAACCTTCTGTAAGGGTCTCATCATTATGTATTTCTACTAGCTTAACAATTATCTATTTCTACTATCTTATCTTTTACCATTTGATGTGGGTTTAAAACATGTGGTATGACCCATTACTTAAAGGGAGTCTGAATATAATTATTCCATTTTTTTCATTTGTCCCCTGTGCCGAGTGTAGTCATATCATTAAAAAAAAACTCATATCCTGGAAACATAAGGCAAGCAATGGACGGAGAGATGGACTTCAAGATTGCACAACATAAACCATGCATCATTCAGCAATGCATTTTCTAATTAGAAATATACTAATTAAAGCTGGAGACAAGAAACCATGTTCTTACCCTCATTGTTTCCCAGTTCATTTTTTTTGTACTCAACACAACTTTTTCAGTGGTAATTTATTAAAAACAGGCATCAGAGGTCTGATTAGACTGCTGACGACCCATCCTACATGTAGATTTATTCAACGCCGAGTGAAACTCCAAAGCCAAAATCCCGCGCGGAAAATTGTCCAAGCCATGCTCAATATGGCTCAACTGGCATGCGGAAGCTTGCTCCTGCATACACTGCCTCAGAGCCAAGCTCCTCTTCAATTCGCAAGAGCTGTGTACTCAGTAAAAGGGCATATCATCAGATGAATTAACATATCATGATTTAATACATTTCTGAATTTCGATTCAAACTAAATAATTAATTTATCCAAGATTGAGCAAAATTGTTAACCTGATTGTACTTTGCAAGCCGTTCTGATCTGCATGGGGCTCCTGTCTTTATTTGGCCCTGATAGAGCAAAATTCATGAATAATCAACATCAGTATGACCAAAGTTAACAAAAAAGTTCCTACTGATACAGTGATCAATCTAAGATACAAACTATATTTACCGTTGCCAAACCCACAGAGAGATCAGCAATGAAAGTGTCCTCAGTCTCTCCACTGCAACCAAATAAGGTGAACTATGTTGGGAACTTGAGCTTTCAAAAATGATGAAAATAAATGGAATGGAAAAATAAACTCTTGAAGTTCCATATGGATGATTTTCAAACCTGCGGTGACTGGCCATTATTCCCCAACCAGCATGTTTGGACATTTTTACAGCTTCAATGCTCTCAGTTACGGATCCAATTTGGTTAACCTGTTCCCAGAACGAGTAAAAAAATGAGATACATTTCTAATTGGTCCAGGACATCAAAGTACAAAGCAATCAACTAAACAAAGATTTCAGTGAGACCTTCAAAAGAAGAGCGTTGCAAGATTTCTCCTTGATTGCCTTTGCAACCCTCTGCAAACATGAATTGAAAATGCAGTGGAGTCAGAAGAACAAAAAATGGATGACAAACTATGAAACAGTAATTTTGTTCATTAGACACAATGTATGTGCACACTTTCTTGTGGAAATGAAGAGCTTAGCCCAAAAGCAACAAGAAAATATTTTTTGCAAACTCCTTCTTACCTTGGGATTGGTAACCAAGAGATCATCTCCCACGATCTGTATCTTTTCACCAATTTCACATGTCATCTTGGCGTAGTGCTCCCAGTCATCTTGGTCAAACGGATCTTCGATTGATACAATAGGGTATTCACTTACAAATAACTTGTAGAGATCTTTGAGCTGCTCTCCTGAGATCTTTTGTGAACCATTATTGTTCTGCACATCCAAACAACAGAAACAAGAAAATATGAATACATACACCTTCGGGAAGCTCTACTGCATGAAATAAATAAGCTTGCATTGAAATAAATAAATACACTTTCTGTGACAGTTTGCACTAAATCATGCAACACACCCTCAGCTAAAAAGATCAACGTGTTTTGTGTAAACACACTGGTTCAACCACAGTTCCCAACAGTAACTAAAAAATAAGCCGGTTTTCCATTAAGAATGGGTTCAATGGTTTATCCGGACCGAGACCCAGAATGATTGACGGGTCAACCAGTCGAACAGCCTGGTCCGGTTTCAAAATTAAATATTTCCAGGTGTTACTCATTTCCTTTTTGTAAAAGCTATTAGTTAATATTTTTAGGGTAAATTACAAATACATCCCTGAGGTTTGATTAAAATACGAATCGCCCCTTTGATTCTAGAAATTACGTTCCACCCCCCGAGATTTCTAATTTCATAATAAATCGCCTATTTTATTAATAAATCATCAAGTCAATTAACAGTTTTTAATGATATTAGAAATATGTTTCAATTAATATTTAGATAATTTTATTCATGTATAGGATAGCAATTATGAATTTTATTTTTTTAATTAATTCTGTTAAATAAAATATTCTAACAAGGGATATTTGTAATTTTTCAAACTAAAGGGGGCAATTTGTAATTTAAGCAAACCCCAGGGAGTATATTTGTAATTTACCCATATTTTTATTGGTGCGCGCAGCTATTGCAAGAGTTTGCCTACTGAGTTATTCTTGCAATGGGTTTCCTCAATTATAAAAATGAGTCACTCCAATCATTGAGTTTGTTCTTCTATGGGAGTGTTCCCAGGGTGAAGCTAAAAAGAGAAAGAGCCTAGGTTCACAAATTGATTAGTTGACTCTTGTTCCAAATTTCAAATATTGCAGTTGGCCATGCTGGCCATGGAATATTACATAAAACTCACCTCTTCCTTGAAGTTCAGATCATAGGTCTTGTCTGATCCATAAAATTCAGATGCAGCAACATCCATTCCAATAACAACCTAAAGAACAGAGGAAGCACTAGGTCTATGATCTTGTTATGTAACATAAAAACAGAAAGAATTGAGATGAGACATGAAAAATACTGACCTTTCCTGTATAGCCGGCTTTAGCAATAGCTGCTTTAAGCAATTCAAGGCCTTCCTTGTTCTCCTGAACTTGCACAAAACAAAATGGTTTGAATAAGCCATGCAATGGTTTATACACACACACACATTGTGTCATCACATATATATATGAATAAGCCATGTGATCACTAAACCACGTTTGACCTGAATATTGGGAGCGAAGCCACCTTCATCACCAACATTTATAGCATCCTGGCCGTATTTCTTTTTAATTACAGCCTAAAATTAGAAAAGTGTAGTTAGCGAAAATTGAAAAGTAGGCAGCCAAAGAACAGATATGAACTCTCCAATGATGTGCAAGTGTCTAATGCTAAAGAAGTTATGTAGTGAACAATCATGTAGTTTTTAAAAAAGTAAACCAAAAAATAGAGCATCTTATAAGAATTGACGATCCCATGATGCGCCTGCCTACACAATGGGTGACTCAATTCTGTTCGAACTCCTAACACCATTGAAGATTAATACTACAAGCATGGAAAGTAGAAATTCTCTCATAATGCAATTTAAGGAACAAATCTGGCCACAAAGTCCAACTGCAGGTAACGAACCAGACATCCAATAGTTCAACCATATTTAGAATGGTCAAAAAGATCAATTTCTAATATTCCTTTGATGACACCCATCAAAAGGAAGATCCAAATTTTTTAGATGGACAACCATATTATCTTGACCTGCGGTCACGAAGTCTTGGATGCTTGCTGTAAGATATTAGAATCAAGCCTGCTGGACTGATTTTCAAAATGCTCTTATGATACGTCACTACATTCATAATGAATTGACGGTGAATTGATAAAGATGCAATCCACTGTAGCAAGCCAGAAAGAATAAGAACCAAAGACTCACCTTCAAATGGTGATATACTTCAACACCCATTTTCATTGCCTCTTTGAAATTGGAAGCTCCCACTGGTAGAATCATGAACTCCTGCAAACACAAGTTGATGAGAAACTTGAGCTCAAGGAATATCTTGGGAAATAAAATAGGAAGACTATATCAAGAGGCATGCCTGCATAGCAAGTTTATTTCCTGCATGTGATCCGCCATTGATGACATTGAAAGCAGGAACTGGCAACACCAACTTCTTGTTTCCAGCAAGGTTGGCAATATGCTGAAATCAGAAGATGTAATTACATCAGATCTATGCATTTTACTAAACATGTATTGCAACCTAAAACTTCAAAGTTATTGCTGCAATTTCCAGGGACCACATGAAACATTGAACAACATAACCTGGTGCCTAAGTGAAGACATGACAACTACCAAAGAGATTATTAAACACTGAACACCGTAACTTATGGTTGGTTCAGTGATATTAAGAAGGCAAATTCTCTTATTATATCCTTCATTAAGATGTGAGCATATCTGTACTTTACAAATATTATATATTCTAACGTTAGAAAAGACACTGCAAATGCCATTCTATTGATGAAGTACCAAGAACTAAATAAAGAAATATGCAAGGAAAAAGAATAGCTAAAATACACCTTGTAAAGGGGAATATTCAGGACACTAGCCCCAGCTTTGCAAACTGCAAGAGACACGGCCAGTATAGCATTTGCTCCAAGCTGAAAAATAAAAATTGGCTCAATGGTGCATATGCTCTACAATATGTAATTCAAAGTTCAAACTGTACAAAAGAAATCTGGTAAAATACCTTTTGCTTGCACCAACCCCACTCGTTTACAGTTCCATCGAGTTGTTGAACCATGAAGTTATCAATGGCAACCTGATCTGTTGGGTCCTGTGTAAAGCAATTCCAAACTTCACTCAATATGAGATTATCCTATCCTTTTTGGTTAATGGTTCCAAATTCTCTCTCTCTCTCTCTCACTATTATCACTAAATTATTCACTCTCTCTCTCCCATTCACTCTAGAAATTGTCACTAAATTAACTGCAGTTCACTTCTCAAAGAACTCTGCCAATAATTCTAAGTTCTGTTAAGATCAACACAGATTGGAGTCTTGGACAAGTCCATGCAAGGATTTTTATATAGAAAATAATTTATTATCCAATAAAACTAAACAACAATATTGAAGGTCAAGTCATAACTTCATTAATATTGATGACAAGACAGGAAAAATCTTTAAGAAGCAATTAAGTGCATGAAACCAACCTTGCCAATGAGAGCAGGGCCAATGATTGCGTTGACATTCTCAACAGCCTACATGTATGCAGATGAGAGAAACAAAATCAGCATTGGGTGTGGGTGTATAAATTGTGAAATACAAGCATGAACTGAAAGTAAAATCTAACCTTTGATACACCTTTCCCAAGGTAATCTGACCCACCATCTCTTAATTCAAGGGCTTCATAGGTTCCTGGAAAGAAGCCAAAATCATGAATGGCATTAAGCATGTGTCTGCTATGTAAACAAAAACAGTCATGCTTGAAACTAGCATGCACAATAATGACATTAAAATATATATATTTTTAAAAAATCATTGGGAAATCAACCGTTGAGCAAACATTTTTCTTTGTTAAATAAATCAACTGTTAGCAATCATATGCTCCCATCGGCAGACACCAGACCATTTGTTATTGAGAAGTTGATGAAATAATTATTTTCTTGTATTCCATATTTTTAAGTATAATTTAATGCAAAGGTGGCAGGAAATGACCTGTAAACTAAAGAACCCATCCAGTGAATAGAGCACAAAAAATTGTGACCCAATGAGACAGATGCATATATAGAATCAAACAGCCAAGTCACGGTTAAATTTTAATTTACTTCGAATGAAAGATGAGGTTTTTTGTCTGTAAAACCGTCATTAAATATGAGTTGGCTACACTTTAAACAGCATTTAGTTGTGAATAACAGGTTCCGAATTTTTAAAGGCTGACATCACAACAGATTTTCCCACATACACAATATATTAGATAACTACAACATTTATTTTCCTTATTATACTTCCCAAATTTTCATATGATTTCATACTTCAGCAAATTGTGAATCTCTATGATCAATCATGATTTTATTTGCAAATGTTACTGATAAAATAAAATAACACAAATAATGTCTGAACTGGCTTTTTTTATTTTGACTTTTTTCCGTCTCAGATAACTTTTTTATATAAAAATAAATTTATTTATTTATTTTTAGAGATGTGATTCAGACCCCTCAACCACCATTCACCAACCCTGAAACACCCCCCCCCACACGGGGGTTGGTGACTGGAGGAGGAGAAAAATAAATAAAAAAAAAAAATCTGGCCAATCAATCCAAGAGGGAATTGTGGCGTCGGGGAAAAAAGGTAGGGGTGAGCATGGTCCGGATTGGAGTAAAACCAAGACCAATCCGTTATTTACGAATCCTGAAAAATTAGAACCAATCCAATCCGTTTAAATCGTGGAACCAATCCGAACCAATCCATTTAAACACGCATTAGATCGGTTTAAGACCACGGATTTACATAATTAAATAACAAAAAAATATATATAACACTTTGGGATTCTGGAATTTTGAAAGCTCTCGGCATCATGAACATTTCATTGCAAGATCACTTCCTTTTTTTTTTCTTTTTTTTTTTCCAAGTACCTTAAGGAGGGTCAAAATACAAACCTATACTGCTGGGCAGTCCTCTTAGGGACCATTGAAAGGTATGAATGGGATATGCAAAAAGTGAAAAAAGGTATGGGATCAGTCACAAAAAGATTCAGGGGCAGTGGTGCATAAGCACCAGTATGATGGACAAAATCCTTAGAGAACCAGTGACTTGAATAATCACAAAAGAACCTAAAGCCTTGGTGTAGCATAACAACTCAGACATAAGCTGGGAGTTCACCAAACTTTGGAATAATGACACATCTATAGAAGATTTAAGCTTAGTTATCTCACTTCAATCCTAATTTGAATATCACAACCTAGATCAAGCTTGAGGTGAAATTATTGGCAAACCCAAAACCATGGTTACCAAAGGTTGCACAACAAGAGAGAGAGAGTTATGTTTCATTATACAAACTCTGTATATGTCTATTAAAGCAATTCTAGATATTAAATGATCTAATAGATTCATCATTACCCTTCATAATATTTTCATACCTGATCCAAAAACCAATAATCTTTTAATGTTTCATCTTTGACAAAATGTAAAATTCAGTTTATCAACATCGTTTCCGAACTTAGGAACTCAAACATGATGAAGATTAATTACCATTTGATTGGACCAATGCCCATGCCTATGAACCAGATTGTACTTGGTAGAGATCCCTATGAAGAACTTTAAAAATTCATGCAGAAACAAACCAAGACGAATGAAAACAATTAGAAATAACTAATCACAAATAAACAATTTATACCATTCACAAACAGGGAGCCTATAGGCATGCGCAAGATAGATTGTGAGAAAATCCATTACATTATACAAGATAGGGAACAATTGGTAAAGGGCATATGCCAGGCCAAATACTTTGCAATAGTTGTGACAAGCCAAGTTGTGCATAACATTCATGCATCCATTCATGTTTTGCTAGAAAGGAACATAGAATTGTTGTGTATGAAGAGAAGTCTAATCGAAAAAGTTCCCTTTTATGCTTCATAGCCTGAAAAAAAATAATTCAACCAGAATAAAAAAGAAAGAAAAAGAAGACATACAGACACCAATTCAAGGTGGAGAAAAAACTTGCACAACATCACATAAATATCAAAATGACACTAATGTTAACAAATTCACATTACTGACACCACCAAATAACATGGAGTAACATCAACCCAACAAAAATATAGAAGACACTCAAGCCTATTCAACTAAACCATCATCCTTTCCACATGCATCTTGACAAATACCTACTTCCATTGAGGATCTCAAATAGCCTGGTGGCTGTCTGTCCATGTTATTCTATAGGATGAAACGATCACTCTTGGAACTGGATGGCTCACTCATCCAACCTATATCTCTTTGCCTCTGACAGGTCTACTTTATTCTTGGCTTCGCATGCTTCCATCTGTGCTTGGAGGGACCTAATAGGAACAAAAGAAACACTTTCATTCGGGAAACAAAATGAAACATGAAATTCACAATGATTCAGGTAAGTTGCCGAATTTTTTTTGAGTGGTGCTATTAACACCCTATGATTTATTTTGGACTCCCCATCTATTTTATTTTTTTAATTCCAATTTTATCCAAATATAAAGTTACATTTTTACCCTTATTCTTAATATTCTAACCCTAATTTTCCAAACCCTAACCCTAATTTCCCAAACCCTAACCCACAAAAATTTTCACCACCATCTCCACCGGCGATCACCACTGCCATTGCCGCCGGCGACCTCTGTCTCTCTCACATCACTCCTTCATTCGTCGTGAATCGGCTCCTCATTTATCTAGGGTTAAGGTTTTCCAGGTCTCATAATCTCTTCAACAATGGCAGCTCCTTCGGTTGAGTTCGTCCAGTACTTCGACCGAAAGAAGACCACCATCTCCATTGGCAATGAGAATCCATAGATTTGAGCATACGAACTAAAAACAATCAAAAAATACACTGCACGATTCGTTTTTATGATCATCTAATCACCGATTCCTCTCGGTGAGCTCAAACTGTAGGAAGATCTGTATCAGAGATCGAGTTCAGACAAAGAAGAAGAAGAAGAAGAAGAAGAGTTCGAAATCAAACCTCGACCGTAGGATTGCCGCGGCTGTCGAAGATCTGTCGTGCATGGACGGACTGGATCGTCGCCATGGATCGTAGTTTAGATCTGCTGAGAGAGAGAGAGAGAGAGAGAGAGAGAGACAGACAGATATTAAGAGAGAGAGAGAGAGAGAGAGAGAGCTGCGATCACTAGCACTCCAGCAGAGTAGTTAGAGAGAAGGGATGTATACCACGTATTTATAGAGGGGTTTAGGTTAATTCTACCCGTATGATTTGAAGAAAATTAGGTCTTAAGCGATAATGAATTGTTTTATATAAATTAATTAATAAATATTTCTGAGAGTGGGATTTGTGCTGAACAATGGATCGAGTTACACCGATACGGAATATGGTGTTGGGTCGTTAAAGGAGAATTCAGTGTGTGTTATGTGGCTGAATTGGATCCACACTAAATATGGTGCAACGCCGGATTAGGATCGTCCGAGATGTATTGGGCCAAGCTATGGTGTTGGGCCAGGCCCAACTGAACAAGCCTACGGCGGGGCTGAGCTGTCAGCGGTTTGGATTGTAGTTGTGAAGACAGACGGTTCGTGAGATTGTAGTGAATAGCAAAAGTGCCGAACAACGTGCCTGACTTCAGTTGGCGCTGATAGGTCGGTTTGGTTCGACCATGCATTAAGCAGTCCAACGTGGTGTTATGTTTTACCAAGTAATAGCTCGGTTCAATATTTCACGTGGGCCAATGACGAGAAGAGGGAAATCTACTCCTGGTATGAGTCAATACCATTTGGCGGTGCGACAAACACTGTTTGGCAGTTTCGGTCTCTACACATGTAAGAAAGGTAGAAAGGAGTATAATCGTCTGTCCAAGAAGGACAACAAAGGTACTGCGCCCACAATCTCCGAGGCTACATGGCCAGCCTTGAAAAGGAGAAAGAGGCACACATTAGAGGTATGTAACCTGAAGTTATTTTTGAGATACTCTCATTTTAGAAAGTGTTCTACCTTCTCTCTTCTTCTCCAAGTGTGCTGACTTGATCGTCGGAGGGTTTATCTGGCAGCACACCGCCGAACAGCTCACCGTCTTTCTATTCTCAGGTTAAGCGACGCTGCGTGAGGCTTGGACTTAAGAAGTACGGAGAACGACGAATATTTCCTTTTTGTACAATTGGCGCTATTTGTGGAATCATTGACAGACAAACCTTGCTCTCCAAGTTTTTCAACCTTTTTCCATGGCTAACAATGACGAAACACCGCTGTCCGTCATCGACAGCATGACACCAGAGTCGGTTTGAAGGAGAGATGGCCCTTCTACCATTTCACCCATGGCTGGCCTGGAGACCTCCTCTACGCCCAAAGACGTGCGAGATAAACGCGCGAAGAGCACTAGCCATTCAAAGAGTCCTGAGGGTCGCCAATGGCGAGGAGAATCGCATGCTCAGCTCCTGAAGCACAAACTCAAAAACTGGGACGCCCTCATTCGAAAGATGATGGTTGAAATGGAAACGTTTAAGCAACAAATCAAAGGGAAGGGTGTTGCTGGAGTGGGCGACCACAGTGAGTGTACCCAACCTCGTCGTTCTGACAGTTATCACCAACGAGGGACACCTTCGCTCTCCATCACCAAAAGTTGTGGAGTTGGTGACCCACTGGTGGAGAGGTCCTATACGCGCGACAGCAACTACCATCCCTGGTGTTCGTCGACGAAGTCGAGATACTCTTACTCTGCCCGTTCGCAGGATCTGAGGGATGTACTAGAGGAACGAGCACTCCGTAGAGAGGCCCAAAGAGTGCCGACGCTGTAAAGGCTGAACCCCCAAATCCATTGCAGTGAGAAGATGGCCATACTGGCGCCAAGAGTGGTAGCTCCAGCACCGATGGACAGAAAGTTGGCAAGACTTACCGCTACTCCACTGTCTCCAGAGATCGAGAGCACACCACTCCCTGCCAGATTCCACCAACCGAAGTTCACGCTGTACAACGACAAGACGGATTTGTAGATGCATGTTAGTCATTACCAGCAAGTAATGGCAAGCCATTGGCGTAACGATGCCTTGATATGCCTCATATTTCCAGCAAGTTTAGGAGAACTAGGGCTGAAATGGTTTGAAAGGCTCCTAGAGGGGAGTATCGAGGGATGACAATAGCTAACGGAAACCTTTGTCACCAGATTCAAAACCAACACTCGAACACCGAAAGAGGTCGACCACCTCCTGAGCATCATGATGGAATCGGGTGGTTCTTTGAAGGCATACAATACCAAGTATTGAGAGACCTATAATGAGATCCTTGATTGCCCCACCAATTGGCGATTGCCCAATACAAGCGAGGTCTACCAGTCGAACATAGGCTGCGAGACTCGCTCATGATGCATCAATCCACAACTATGGAATCCTTAATGCAGCAAATCAATGAGCACATCCGAGTTGAGGAGGATGCCGCCACAGTCACCACAATCGAGAAGGAAAATTTGGTTACAGCGGACAGACGCGTGGCTGAGAAGGTTCACTCAGTGCGGCAGGAGGATAACCGCCCTAATAACTGAGCTAGAGAGCAACATCGCGATGCTAACCGTAATGATAGAAACAAAGGCCGTGGGAATGACCGAGCTAACGTTTCTTGCAACGAAGAGGAAGATGCCAGGGAAAGTTGAAGGCACAAACCGGAATCACCATAGTCTTTAAAATTCCAATTTATTGCATCCTCAGTGAAATCTAAGGTAAGCCATACGTCTGTTGGCCGACAAAATTGGGAGATACACAGAGGGGCTTCAACTCAAGGTACTGCTGCACCTTTCATGAAGAAAAGGGGCACCGAACGAAGGACTAAATACTGCTGAAACAACACTTAAAAGAGCTGGTTACGGTTGGACACTTAGACCAATACATAGACGGGGGTATGAGGGCCGCTCCACAAGGGTAAGCCGAGCCAAATGGCCTTGCCATCTTGGATACAGCACCCTAATGAGTAATCAATGTTATTCACGACATCATCGAGCCAATGCGAGTTTGCGAGTTGAGGGGAATGATCAAGAAAGCCGAGCATATAAAGGAAGTGCTCTCTGTTCATCCCGCCATAAAGAAGGAAAAGATTGAGATAAAAGACATCTTGACCTTTTCGAGCAAGGACATGGAAAGAATTCAAACACCTCATAATGACGCCTTAGTTGTGACTCTTCGCGTTAAGGACTTCGACATCAAAAGGATATTGATCAACCAGGGGAGTTCGGTCGAGATCATGTACTACGATGCATTCAAGCAAATGAAGTCGAAAGACAAAGACCTGGCTCCAGCGACGTCTCATTTGGTCAGCTTCAACTCTCAACCAGAATGGCCGATTAAGAAGATCATATTGCCGGTTAAGGCTAGGTCAGTCACAAAGCAAGTGGAGTTTTAGGTGCTGAAGGTCCCATCGATCTACAACCTGATCTCAGGGAGCTATACAAGCAGTAGCGTCGACTTATCACCAGGTCATGCGCTTTCCTACTTCAGCTGGGCAAATCGAAGAGGTTTGGGGGGACCAAGTGATGGCAAAGCAATGCTTCATTGTTGTAAATGGCAATCGGGTTGCCAAAGGCTTTGTCCAAATGATAGAAGGGCCAGAAGGAAAGAAAGTCCTAGAAGATATAAAAAGAAAAGCCGAAAAGAAATCAGTTGAAGACTTGGTGGAGGTTCGGATTGATGAGAACAATTCGAGCAAATTCTTTTTCTTGGGCTTATCATTGTCCAACACCGAGTAGATGGACTATGTCAACTTCTTGGTCTCTAACATTAAGTCTTTGCATGGACACCTTACGATATGCTTAGCGTCGACCCTAGCTTCATCTGCGACTAGTTGAATGTCTTTCTCAATGCAAGGCCAATCATACAGAAACATGACGCTCAGCCCTGCACCATGCCGAGATAGTGGCCGTAGAGGTCAAAAACTTACTAGAAGCTAGGGTAATAGAAGAAGTGCAATACCCTAGATGGATCTCTAATGTAGTGGTAGTGCCGAAGAAAAATGGGAAGTGGCGGGTATGCGTTGATTACAAGACAATCAACCGTGCCTGTCCGAAGGATAGCTTTCCACTCCCAAGGATCGACCAGTTGGTGGACCTTATCGCTGGTCACCAAATGTTCAGCTTTTTAGATGCATACCGTGGCTACCATCACATAGCCATGTACGAGCCCGGACAGGGAGATCACTTCATTCACCATACTAAGAGGCTTGTACTGCTATAAGGTCATGCCATTTGGTCTTAAAAATGCCGGGGCAGCTTTCTATAGGATGGTGACAAAAATGTTCGCTCTTTCTCTTGGCCGCACTATGGAGGCCTATATTGATGATATGGTGGTGAAGAGCAAAGACAAGTCTTAACACCTTACCGATCTAGCTAAAATGTTTGTTATCCTCAAACACCACAAGTTGCGATTGAATGCATCTAAGTGAGCTTTCGGAGTGGGAACTGGAAAATTTTTAGGCTTTCTAGTTACCAATCGAGGAATTGAAGCTGACCCTTCCTAGATCAGGGCAATCCAAGAGCTGGAACGACCAAATTTCACGAAGGATGTGCAACATCTTGCCGGAATGGCAGTCGTGTTGAACAGATTTATTAGCCAGTCATCAGATTGTTGCAGGCCCTTTTTCAAGACTTTGAAAGCTAAGTTTTTCTGGGATGTAGAGTGCGACCGCACTTTGGCAAATCTAAAGGCATATCTCTATTCAACCCCAATCCTAGTTACACCACAGTCAGGTGAAGAGCTCTATCTCCAGTTGGCAGTTTCTCAGCATGCGATAAGTGCGGTCCTCGTTCGAATTGAAGGGATTCAACACTTTCCTATCTTTTACGTTAGCAAGACATTGCTCTTAGCCGGATCAAGATATCTACCGCTTGAAAAATTAGCCCTAGCCCTCGTGATGGCCTCTAGAAAATTGGCGCACTATTTCCACGCCCACATGATAGTAGTGTTAACTGAATTCCCGTTTAAGGTATTCTTTGAGAAGGCAGATTTTACCAGCAGAATTTTGAAGTGGATTGTAGAGCTGGGGCAATACGACATCAAGTTCTAGCCGCGCACAACTATTAAAGCTCAAGCCCTTGCCGACTTTGTGGCGGAATTTTTCCCTGGCACTTACCCCGTTTGTCCTATTGATTTGGCTAGTGCGGATTTAGCACGCCCTACGGTTTCATCTACACAAAAAATGGGTGAGGAAGAAGCAATAGA